CCCACCTGGCTCCCCCAGCCCCCGGTAGCGCGCCTTTCGGGCCGCGCCCGGTCTCGGCACAGAATTAGTTCTACCAGCCGGTCCTCCCTGCGCTCTCCGGACTGCGGCGTCTGTGCGCCCCTTGCTTAGCTCCTTCCCTCCCGGCTGTAACCCGCGTGTGCCAGGAGTGCGTGAGGGACCTTTCTGGGCCAAAACTGGGGAGTGTGCTGGGCTTCCCAGCCCACGCTGGGCAGGTACTGGCCTATTTTGCGTGGTGCGCCCGGTGCGCTTTGGTGACTTGGAGTAGAGCTGCGTGGCCTAAGGCTCTGGTTAAGTTAGTGACAGTCGGGCTCTTTTCTGTGGGCTTTGAGGCTTCCCCCACCCCCGCGGCGACCCCTTCCTTCGGTTTTCGATACAGTGTTGGCAGCTCCTTTGTTCCTGGAGTCAAAGCTGAGGGCCTTGGGCTAAAGGCGTTCAACACCCGAAGGGCTGAGTTATCTTGAGAGGCGCAGCCTGCTCCCAGGCTGGCCTAAGTGCCTTGTGAGGTGTGGTTTGGGGGTTTGGTCCGTCTCCGCAGGATCATTTTGAACATGCCGAACATGCCGAGGGCACTTGATGCACTAAGCTGGAAGCTGGTGACATCAAGTCAACTGGCCCTGTAAACACCCCGGTGGCTCAATCCCAGCTGCGGACACTAAGGCTACTACGCAGCGAACTCCACTCACCCGGAGAACTGACGCCTCGCCTCGCAGCCAGCCGGGCTACCCGGAAAGCCTCCGGCGACGCGTCCACTGCAGCGCAGTGGACCGAGTGTCCCTGAAGCTCCCTCTCTCAAGCCACAGGGCATTGTTAGGGCCAGAGACAGGGGCTGAAAGAAGCTTAGGCAGTTGCAGGGAACACACGGTGGACCCGGAGAGGTTTGGACGGTGAGGGGATACTTCTAGGAAATCCTCAATAGGCTTGGGGAAAACCCGACCCAAGACCCAAGCCCAGCCAGCCAGTGCTGGGAGATGGCACCAGTGGCCTCACGGGTGACCGTTCTCTGTGTTTTTTGCTTACAGATCAACAAAAAACTACAGTGATTGAAAACGGGGAAATCAGGTTCAATGGAAAAGGGAAAAAGATTCGGAAGCCTCGGACCATTTACTCCAGCCTGCAGCTCCAGGCTTTAAACCACCGTTTTCAGCAGACTCAGTACCTGGCCCTTCCGGAGAGAGCCGAACTGGCAGCTTCCTTAGGACTGACACAAACACAGGTAATTCCTGAGAAGCCCGAAAATCCCTGAAATGCTGGCCCAGCTTGCAGATCCAGCAGGAATTCTTGGCCTAGTCAACTAAGGATGAAGGAGCTTAAAGACAATTGCTTTTGCTCCACTTGCACATTTTCTTGGGATCACACAAGGTGGAATAAATAACCTGGTATTGAATACTGGATTGGATTTACACGTCTGCCCAACACTTGCTCGACGACCCTGCCCCAGGCTAGCTGCTTTTGGTGACAAAATTCATAATTCATTCAAATCTTATTCCAGAGCTGAACAACAGGAAAGAGAACAATCCAATCATGTAGGAGAAAAAACTATACAGGCTAGTAAGCAAAATGAGGCCCACCTTTCTTAGGATACTTTTGTGGGCCTTGGGAACTAATAAGAATTTCAACTCATTGACCCAGAAAGAAAAATTATAGAAGAAGGGTTCTGTTATGGAAGGGTTGTAACTGGGCAGGCATAGGCTCCAGAGGGGACAGTAACAGCACCAATGTGTGAATTGTTTGTCCTAGGATTTCCTAAAGATTGTTCTAACCTCAGTTGGTTAAATCATCCTGAGGGTGCTGGCTGAGGTACCTCTCTGGAGCAGAAGACTTGGGGCAATGGCAGAGTTGAAGATCAAAAAGAAATGCTCTCCAGATTCTAGCAGGTGAAGCCACATTGACATACAGTTGCTGAAGTTCTTTAGTCCTACTAATGGGAAGGATGTTTCACAGAAGGGGGTGTATTAGGACTCTGGTCATAAAGCCAGGCTAGAGTCACCTGTAGTTTTTGTCCATGTCAGTTATTTTAGCTGCATTGGGGTAATAGGCCTTATCTGAGGTAGATGATCTTCATTCAGCAAAGGGACTCCAGGTTTTATGAGATGATTGCTCAGGACTGGCAGTATAGTACATGGTCTTGGAAGCTCTTCTTTTCATTCTAGCCTGTTCTCTCTTGCCATATTGCCAATGAAAATATTGGGAGTTTGACATAAAGTGCTACTAGCCAGAGACTTGTATTGTTCTTGCAAAAGCAGATTTAAAGGTAAAGAAGTTTCTTCTTCAAATAAAGTAGATCTGGGAGGTCGGCCTATGTAGGCTCCTATCCTAGATTTCTGATTCATGTTTAGTTTTCAGAAGCCTTTTACTTTTAATGACTACACTAACAATCATGTGATGATTGTTGACTCCAGTTTGACTAAGCAATGTACAAAGCAGAGAATGGGGGAGGTACAGTCGTCAGTGGCTGCAAGATTATACGGTATATTTATGTTTGGAGAAAGATACCCTATGCAGCATCTGTAGCAATGGGCACTATATGCCTAGGTGTGTTCAAGGTATTTGGTTATAAATATATAGGCTTGAAGCCAGTCATAGTCATTTGCTTGTTGTACATGCATACAGATGCCAGCTTTTGTGATTGGTAAATATATAAACAGACTATTGGAGGAAGTGCATTCAGTTGTATGGCTTCGATATGAAAAGAGCTTACTTTTAAAATTCTTCATCAAATTTTGGACACATTTATTTCTTTTACTTTTTTATGTTAGTCTCACTTACGTTGATGTGTTAAGCCCAGGAGAGTGTCCAACTCAAGAATCACAGTATCCAGACAGATCTCTAGTAGTTTCAGGGTGAAGGGTGGAGGAGGCTAGAAAGAGGTGGAGGGAGACTTGGTCTCCCAGTGCTGCGGTAGCCCCCCCCCATTGCTTCTTAAGCTTGTAGCAACACTAGGGACACTGGCTTGGTATTTATCAGTCCTAATGATTGCTGCATTTCTTCCAGGTGAAGATATGGTTTCAAAACAAGCGCTCAAAGTTTAAGAAGCTGCTGAAGCAGGGCAGTAACCCGCATGAGAGCGACCCCCTCCCAGGCTCCGCAGCCCTGTCACCACGTTCGCCAGCGCTGCCTCCAGTGTGGGACGTTTCTGCCTCTGCCAAGGGCGTCAGTATGCCTCCTAACAGCTACATGCCCGGCTATTCGCACTGGTACTCCTCACCACACCAGGACACGATGCAGAGACCCCAGATGATGTGAGCTGTCAGAGGGAATACGAGAGAGAGGATGTCTAAACAAGGCAAGGAGGCCCCTGGACCTGCTTGTGTCTGCCAGACTAAGCCAGAGGAGCAGGCTCAGGAGAACTTGTATGTGTGGCCAGAAGCTGGCTGGGTCTCTCTGCATCTCTCTCTCTTTCTCCCCCTCCCCTTTTTGCCCACCCCTCTGCCCTTGTTCTTCTCTCTCCCCTCCTTTTTTCACTTTTCCTTATGTTTCATCCATTCATTCATTCATTCATTCATTCATTTCCCTCTTTACTTTCCTGTCCTCTCCTCAACTGCTTTCTTCCTTGAGCAACCTTAGTAATTTATCTTACATTTCAGAGAGAGAGAAAGAGAGAGAGAGAGAAAGAAAGAGAGAGAGAGAGAGAGAGAGAGGAGAAAAGGAGAGAGAAGAGAGAGACTAGTCTCTATGCCAGCGCTCCGAAAACCCCTCACTGTAAGGATATTTTCCCTTACCCCTTGGGATTCAGACTCTGAGCCTCCTCTTCTCTTTGGGAGTATCCATCAAAATGACTTTTTTTTACAGACATTTCTCCCCACCAGAAGAATCTGCACAAACATGGCAGCATTTTTACTTGTTTAATGAGCTTAAGACATTTCATGATGAAAGAGAAGCATTTTGGACGCCTGCATTTTTATTTACTAATCCCAGACTGACAAAAAGGAAAAAGAAAAAAACCCTCACATAACAACCCTTCTCTAAAGAAAAAGGAAAACTCGGCTGTAAGATTATTGCCAGGAGAGGAACGCTGCATGTTTTATCAAAATGCAATGACCAGAAATGACGATTCACTTAAAATACAAACAAACAACAACAAGAAAAAGGCTCTCTTCCCCCCACCCCACCCCCAGACCTTGAACTGCAATCAGAAAAGACAGAGAAAACAACCAAAATCGCTATTCTGTTGCTTTGACACCTTTACTAGGTGAATTGGTGGCATTCACAAAGCTTATAGGGACGTTTATATCAAGAAACATTTCTGTATATATTGTTGAATTTTAGTTGTATATATACTTTGTATGTTTTTGTCTTTCATATATGGAGTAAAAGCCACAAAATGCTGGGAGTGTCTTGTATATTTCTCTGTGTGCTTCTGTCTCTCTCCTTCTCCCTCTTTCTTCCTCCCACCATATTTTCTATCACTCTTAAAAGAATTTCTGTTTTCTAATGTGGGAAGTCCTATATATAAACATCAAGTGCCTGAAAAGATGTCACTTTGCACTTCTAGCCTTTGTCTTAAGTACTTTACCATTATCCATGGGTGTTTTCTCGGCTTTATTTTACATGTTAATTTTTAATTGTAATTTCCACACATTTATCTATTTTTTAACATACTAGAATGAGCTATCCCTAGATTTACCCCTAGATAGCCAGTAGTTTCTAGTACTGAAACTGAGTGCCCCCCTTCCCTCTTCTCAGACAAAATAATACAGCTGTATTTATCTTTGTTTGGAGGCAATTTTTAATGAAAAAAAAAGAAGAAAGAATAAAGAAAAATCAGAAAGTAAAAGTGCACAATTATGCCTATGTTTAAAATCCACTGCAAGCCAGCTAGGTAGGAAAGATGTACTATCCTTGATGAAATACATCCTTCCGATCTTATAGAAAGCAAAGAAATAATGAAAATGAAAAGTCCTTTCGTCATGCAAGCAGGAAGCCCCATACTGTGAGAATTAATGGCTACAGACCTGGGCATCCTTCAAATTATGAACCTTGAAACCACTGAGCCATTTATCAGAAGTCAATAGAGATACTCAGAGTGCTCCATATAATGACAGCGACATACAGTCGTGCAAAAGGACAGTCACTATAATTAGACACAAAGCAAAGACTACTTACCAATATAACCGTTCCTTTTTTTGTTGAGCAACTTCCACGCTCAGTCAGTCTTCAGAATGGTTTAAAACCGATCAGTCTTGTCATTTTCTAGCATTCGCATTGTTACATTAGGAAAAATGTTTTCTTTTCTTTTTCCCCCTTCCTACTGTGAAACTTTGGGTTCGTAGCTCCCCAGGATCAATTCTGAACAAAGCCTCCAGCTGCAGTGCCATCCAATTTGAAGCAGACATTGGGGACAATTTAAGGTTTTTATCCACAAGAAGGTTTTTTTCCATTCTCTTAAATGCAGCCATAATTAGAGTAATTTTTCATGTAGCCCGCTGATTACAGCGTTTTTACCGTCAAAGATAATTACCTGTAATTTTCTTCCACTTTTAATACTAAAAAGCCATCTTTATTTAGATTCAGGAACAGGAAAGGCGAAACAAAAGAGGGAAATTATTCTGTTATTCATACACAAATTGCAGAGACGTAGGACCTAAAATTGAAAATTAACCAAAATTATAATGCTGAAAAGAATGGAAGAGGCTGCAGAAGTACAGCTGGTAGTGAGGCTTTGCTGAATTATTCAAATTACATTAGAGGGAAAGCTACCATACATCGAAACCAACACTAATTTTTCTCAAAAAAAATCACCAGATACATGCCAAACCACTGTGAGTGCGTGGAACTCTGAAAACCAGCAAACGCACGTTTTCGTGTTGGAAGTGTGAATATGATATATCTGTATCGTGCTCTTTATCTCTTCACAGGAGTTTAATTAAATTCTGCCGAGGAGTCCCCCTAAAACTGCCCTTGGAACTCGGCTTCCTCTGGAGCTTGTGAGCCTCAAGGGTTAATATTTTCGCTCTTTAGAATGTATTGACCCCCTAGTAAACCTATTCCCCGAGGGAGGGATCGGTGGGAGGGGCGTGGGCGAAAGGCGTCGCCCAGTTGCGCTGCCTACTACGCCTCCCTACGTTCCAACTTCCCAGAGGTTGCAGAGTTCGACTTCCAAAGCCGAGTCTGGCCACATTTCCCATTTTGAGGAGGGTGAGGCGAGGGAGAGGGGGAGAGGGAGAGGGAGGGAGGGGGAAGAGAGAGAGAGAGAGAGAGAGAGAGAGAGAGAGAACAATAGGTGTAGGTACAGGGTGGGGGCTGGGTAAGGGTGAAGGAGACAATTTCTCCCTGGTGCCAATAAGTACCTCATTATCTTTTGACACAATTTAGTCAGAAGGTTTCTGCCTGCCACAGGAGAAAGGCTTTTTCTGTACTGGGGTGGGAAAAACCAACGATTTCTCAGGCTCCTACATTCACCATTACTAGCTGCTTATAATGTCTACGGAGCCAGAAAACAGCGTCATCTACAGATAGAACAACACCGCTTTCAGCTGGAGTCTTCCATGATGCCTTCCTAAACCAGACAGCTTCCTTGGTTCTGTAGCTAGGTTTTCTCAGCCAATCGTGCCCCTTCAACCTCAAGGCCTCGGGGCAGTTGTGCTCTGCGGGGCAATAAACTCCAAGATACGAATATCCACCCCCAGCCACAGCCCCTGTACACACACACACACAAACACACACACACACACACACACACACACACACACACACACACACACACCTTGAAGGCCCTGAAAACAGCTTCCAAAGATTTCAGAGGCCGTTACTCCCAAAACTTTACCCTAAGGGGAGAATGACCAAGAGTCAAGAGATTCAGGCACACCTGCCTTGGAGAAAGTCTGCATACCTGTGACTCTGAAGGAGCCCTGTCAGGAGCTCCCGTTTCATCTCTTGACTCCTCAAAACCTTAAATCCTGGCCACACGTAAAGCTCTCAATGGATTCACCTAAGATTAGCTGTGAATAACAATAGATTTTAGCTTGGGAGCTCAGGCTCCTTCCACACCCTACAGAAACCCAGCCCTTTTCATACTCCCCCATGGCCAACTGCACCAAACACATCAACACAGAAACCAAGAAAGAGAAATCAGGTTCTTAAGGATTCCAAACTGATCGGAACCCTGTTACTCACCAGAACAACTCTTTTACTGTTAAAGGGGGATAAAAGGGCAGAATTGAAAAAAATCTATAAAGCAAAGTTGTAGTCCACAATTAATTACAACAATAACACATATAGGTTGGAAAGCATGAGAAGAGAAATATGAGCTGTGCCTTGAAGTATGCAAGAAATAAAAACTTACCCCCAGCGAGTACTTCTTAAGCAATGATCAGGGTCTAGAAATCTATACTGAACCGAAGCAGAGGAGAATATTTTTCTGAGTCTCAGGACAGAAGCTCTTTCTCTATATTCTTGGTTGAGTGAGCACATCCAGGTGTGAAATTGTTTGCACACCCCAGCACCTCTTATATTGCCAGCAAAATTAGCTGTTATTACTGTCACTGTTTAGTGATGGTTAGCGTGATACAAAAAAAAAAAAAACTGCTGTAATCAAGACCTGGCGCATCTTTGCAAATTACAGATAATTGTAAACGTCCAGATTATGATAATAGCATCCTAATCCAGCCTGCAATATAATTATTACAGAGTGTTACATCTGAAACTGTCCAGTAGGGCTAATTCAGCCATTATTTAGACCCTATTTTTGCACTGCAAATGGGTTGCTGAGTTGAAAATGTACGATTGTAATTTCACGGGGCACTCAATGAGTAATGGTATAGGAAGAGGAAAATACAAAAGTGAAATGTGAACAGTAGCGATCAAATCAAACCCTGAAGGACAAAAGACTGTTTGATTCATATGGAAAAAGAAGAGCAGGAATTAAGAAAATAGCAAATCAGTGGTCTGAAGCATTATGTGTCCAAATCCTCAATAGTGCAGGGCTGATGTGTTTGCAAGGGCTGCTGCGTCTGCTGCTGCTGCCTGGAGTCTGAAATAATTTTTCTTTTTCTTTCTTTCTTTTAAAAAATCTGTGGTCTTTCCCTTTTCTCCTAAGGCATTTTTCTACTTTAAAAAAAGTGCCCCTCCCCAAAGCAAGGAATATTTGTCAGTTTTATTATTATTTCCATAGCAGCTGTTGTCACAGTGTGCCTGTCACTGGCTTATGAACATTTCCTTAAATGAATTTGCAATCTCTTGTCATCAGAGTAGAACACCCTGGGTGCTCTTAAGTGTTCCTGTGCTCCATCTTCACCTTCTCCACCTTCTTTCACAGAGAAAGTCAGGGACAGTCCTAGAGTCTATTAGTAGACAATGTATTGATTGCTGCTAATTAAAGACAGCTGGATGGGAAGCTGTCTTCTCCAGTTGACTTGGCTGGCTATTGGTTTTAATCCCATTATTAACTTCGATTAATTAAAAGTCATAAATTATATATCTTATAAACCCCCACATCAATGAGCCTGACTGCTTCTTTTTCTATGTGTCATCATACACCTAAAAGAGCAAGGCCAGTCTACTTAAAATATAAGAGAACCCAAGAGATACAGGCTGAGAGAGGAGAGAGGCTAGAGGGGGCTGGGAGACAGTATGGTTTGGTCCAGGCCCTCTGGGAATCCCAGCTATTACTTCTGGGAGAACAAACCCTGGTCTGGTGAAGAACTCCTCAGATGAATCTGTTTCCTGGTGGGGCCCTCCTGGTCAACGATACCTAAACCCCTTCTATCTCCAGGAGTTCAGATTTTCCCACCATGAACAGAGAATGTCCCAGGCATCTTTTCCAGCCTCTAGGCTCATGTGTGTTGATTCTCCTTCCTCTCTCCCAGAGCTGCCCAACCAGGGCCACCCTGCAGGGTGGCAAGCAGGCTTCCTAGCTCCTGTGAATTTACGGCCAATAATGAAATGTCCCCTGTTTAGTGACCCCTGTTTATAGATGAAAGTTGAGTCCATATCCCCCACCCTCTTTTCCCCACCTTGCAAATGGCAATTGGCAGAAAGTCCTTGACAATAAGCTTCCAGTGGCAGTTTCTGCCTTCACACCTTTCAAGGAAAAATAAAAATACTTTAAAATAAATCATAGCCTAGGAAATGTTTACTGTCCTTCACCCACTTTCTTTTAAATGGATTTTGTATGGTGGAGATTCCACAGAGAACTGTTACTGAAACCAGAAGAGAGGGAGGGAGGGAGGGAGGGAGACAGAGAGAGA